ATTGAGGATGGTGGGGATGGAGCAAGGATGAGGATAAGGCTGTGTTAGGCTGGGGATGGAAACGGGGCTGACGATGGCGGGGGACAGGGACATGTTGGGGACAGAAACGGGGCCGAGGACAAGACAAAGTGATGAAGGGTCCAGGGCTGGCTCCACCCCACCCCTCTCCCCACCCCAACCCCGCTCCCGTGGCGTTCCCAGGTTCGAGGCCGAGCTGGCCATCCGGCTGTCGGTGGACGGTGACATCGCGGCGCTGCGCAAGGTCCTGGACGACACCAACATGACGCGGCTGCAGCTCGAGGGGGACATCGAGGCCCTGCGCGAGGAGCTGATCCTGCTGCGCAAGGAGCACGACCAGGTGGGTCCGGGGGGCTCGGGGGGGTTCAGGGGGGCTGTGGGACCCCAGACTGACCCTCCCCATTGCCCCCAGGAAGTGCAGGCTCTGCGGGCGCAGGTCGCGCAGTCGGCGCTGACGGTGGAGGTGGATGCGCCGCGGTCGCAGGATTTGGGGAAGGTCCTGGGCGAGCTGCGGGCTCAGTACGATGCCCTGGCCCAGAAAAACCTGGAGGACCTGGAGAAGCAGTGGGGACAGCAGGTGGGGAACCCAAAAAAACCCAAATCCCACCCAAAACCAGCCCCCAAAATGGTGCAGGACAATGCCCTGGTCTTAGAACGCCTGGAGAAGCAGAGGGGGTGTGGGGACCCCAAAAACCCCAAATCCCCCCAAATCCCCCCAAATCCCCACCAATCCACACCCAGGGGTCCCCAGTGATGCTCCATGGGGATGTCCCCAATGGGGAGGTCACCTGGGTGTCCCAAACAAGGGGTAAGCCCCTCTTTGGGGGAGTCCCCAGGCATGGGAGGTCCCCAAAGGAGCCCCACAAGGTGGGGAGGGGGAGGTCTGCACCCATGGGGGTCCTGGGATCAGACAGGGGATGTTTTCAGGGGGGCTCCTCGGGGTAACTGCTCCAGGAGGCTCCTGACCCAACTTTGGGGACACTTTTTGGGTGGCCTCTGTCCCATCCGAGACCCCAACCCCACACTGGGACCTTCTCCAAGAGAGTCCAAATTTGGGGCTCGTCCTGGGGMCCCCCCCAATGTGGGACCCTCATGCCTGAGTTTGGCTTCTCTTGGGATGGTCTCACCCCCCACATCCCCTCCAAGATTTGGGGAGGGGAGGGATGGGATGGGATC